AGGCACCATAGATCGGAAGGTTAGTGTTAAATGTCGGCGATTTGCACCAGCAGCGCACCGGAGGGAGCTGCTGGAGAGATCCACAGCGAGAGACGCACGCGGCAGGATGCTCTGCGCCCCATTGCGTACCGTTCCGGCGATGATGAGGCTCGAGTACACCATAGACTGATTGTATGTATGCCCCGAAAAGGACATGCACCCGCTGTGGGTGCGAGGCCCTGGTGACAGGCTCGACGACAACAAGCAGGCCAAAAATTCAGCTGCTGATGCTGCTGCTGTTGCACTGCCTTGAGGCAGTGTCCTTGGACAGTGTCGTGTCCTTGACTACACGACGGTGATGTGTGGCCAGAGTAAATGGGATATTTTGGCCTCTCCTGGTTAACCGTAGAGACATTTCGAAAACTTTGACATTGAAACGGAGTATTGAGTCGGGCCCTGGAACCCTGGATCTAACGCAAATTTGTGGCCATACAACGACCTTCAGTGGATGGGAGTTCCATTCGTAAAGATGCTTCGCATGTATCCTGTCGCGTTGTTTGGTCACAGTCACAGCCACGATATGGATGTCAACTAATCTCAAGTTTCAGTGTGTTTCTATTCCGAGATTTTATTTGCAGAATTCTGTTCACGGCTCAATGGCCCTGAAGCGGTGCGGTGCGGTGCGGTGCAGAGCGGAGCTGCGGTTCGAAACAATCAACCTAATGGGGCAGCACCAACACAGCAAATATATAAAAATACAAAAAATAAAGAATAAAAAATAAAGAATGAAAATTGTATGTACAAAACCTCTTGTGTTGGTCAAATTCATTTCCACTTGATTACATGCAAAGCTCAAATCTGTTTGGTATCGGGCTCTGTTCTCTGCTCGAGTTCTCTCCACTCCGATTGCTAAAATCATTTAAACGGAATTAATGCTCGAACAAAACATGTGAAAACTATCGCTCTCCGCACTCCAATCAAATCCCACAAAATACGTTACGTTACGTGGCAGGGAATCGTTCATATAAATATATTTATTCCTCATTTATGGTTTCGGTTTCGGTTTGGCATTCTGTTTTTTTTTTTTGTTTGATGGGGTGTGTCCGCCTGGACAGTTTCGAGCCACACACAAATGTTTGAATATCGAAGAAATTGGCAAAAAGGTAGAGCAGGGCGTGTGCAAGCTTAGCGGGTAGCACCGGGTATATCCCATTCCCATTCCCAGTATATTCTCTATAGGGTTTATATACTGCTGGGGGGCCAAGCGAACATTTCAAAGAAAACCTAGAGCCAGAGATTTCGTTAATTAGTTTGGTGGTTGCCCTGTGGATACATCAAAGAGTGACGGGAATCTATCTGAACAAAGAACACGCACAAATTGCAGTAGGAAATTTCAATGAATAATATTATGTTCTTAAAGTTTGTTGACCCTGGATGGTCACTGCACACTGCAAAGGGATGTAGGATTCGTTTTAAGATCGGTGGGTAATAACTCTTAAGAAACTGCCATGATATATGTACATACGTATATGATGGCAAAAGAAGAAATTATGTCTTGTAATGTTGAATAAAATAAGACATATTTCTGATCTCTTCAATTCAAAATCGTTGTGCGAACTTCAGACAATCAGTGATTAGAATTGTAATAATTATAGACCATTACAACCCCCCCTGGACAACCTCCCCCTACTTGTGCCCCATAGTATAGTGTCCTTTTTTCCAGGGGATAAATCTGATTACCGTCGCCACTTGTACGCCGCCGCATTGCACTCAACGAGGAGCAGCCCAAGCCAAGAGCCAAGCAGCAGACAAGGGGCACGGACAAAGTGGCACGAGGCAAGACATTCCATGTATGTACAATGCACATATACTTGAACGTATGTCCGTGTGTGTGTGGATAAAACTATAGGGAAAAGTGAGCGTGCCACATCCTTTTGGCAGGACACGAAACAGCAGCGTAGAGATGACAGTAAAAAACTGACAGAATAACACAGCACGTGACAATTGCGTCAACAGATTTTTCGCTGAGATGAGCACAAAATTGTTAGCAACAAAAGTAAAAAAACGTGAGCAGAGAATGGTCTCAGATGTGGGAGGTGGAAAGAGGATCTGTAGATGGGAATGGGGTTTGGTTTGGGCTATGGCCAGGGGCCCCAGACTGCAGGTTCTACTGTTGCTGTTGCTGTAGTCGTTGACAATATTTATGCAGCAGCAGCAGCAACAGCAGTGGTGGCGGTGGTACCCCAGCAGGAGAACGGAATGGGAATGCTATTCAGAAGGATGCAATGGGAAAGGGAATGGTATCCCAAAAGGAGTCTGAGCTTGGGGGTTGTCTTTCCACTGTTTGTTTTTCCATTTTCATACATTTTACAGCTTTTGTTTTATAATTTGGACCCGCAAGGCGACAAACTCGAGGAGGAAAAAAACAAAGAGAATTATGAAAAAAGAGAAAACAAATATAGATTGGGGCAGAATAGTCGAATGGGAGATACCCAGAAACTTCATTCGGTGCTCAATGGACAGAAAAAACTAGAATGAATAGAGTGCTACAGAAAGACAAGACGGATTAAATAATGCTCCACATAATAGTGTTGCATTTATTTTATATGTACATATATGTATGTACAGACATTTAAGTTAATTTAGAGGTACAAATAATTTGTTTCACTCGAATTCTTTTAAGTCGAATCCTCTGAAGTCGAAGCTAAGTCTAAAATCAATGGCAATTGGACGGTGTTTTCGTGGAAGATATAGTAAGTAAGTAAGTAAGTAATTAAAGCCTTCCTTACATTCCTTACAGAAACCTGTACATACATACCTTCTATCCCCTCATTTTTTTGACAACCGCGTAAATTTTAAAACCCAATCTACTCCCCATGGCAGGGCTTACAGGGCATCTGAAAACTCTCCACCGATCGAACAGCACTTGATGAAGCCTGTTGTTGCTGTTGTTGTTGTTGCTGTGGCTGTTTCTGGCGCTGCTGCTGCTGCTGCTGCTGTGTGTGTCCTGTGGCTGTTTCCGCTTCCTCTTCTGCGCCAGCGAAAAACTCGAAGCTGCGGTAGGTTGCTTCTGGTTCTGGTTCTGGTCCTGCTTGCGTATGGCTATGGCTAAGGTGGTTTTGTTACATTTTGGGGGGGTACACGAAGGCGGTGGGCACGGGCCCAGTACCGCAGTACGTGACGAAGAACAAAAGAAGGCACTTGGGCACTTGCATGTTTCCGGCCAGCGAGAGAGAGAGACGGGGAATGGGAGGGTCCTTGTGCTTCTGGTTTTTACAAAACTTACTTGCTGTTGCTGCTGCTGCGGCTGCTGCTGCTTTTGTTGTATCCACAAAAAAGCACGCTTATGATAATAATGACATTATGTATGGCATATACTATGTGATACGTACGAAATGTTGACAGCCGCAGTCCTTTTTTGCTGCTTGCTTTTTGTTGAACAAACTTCTCTAACGAGCTGAGCCATATGATTTGGATTGGGCCTCAAGAGGGGGAATTATATATTTAAGTTGGTCCAATTTACCCAGTTGAAATGAAATATACGCAGAAATCTTCATGGAACGAATCATTGAAAGACTTTTCTTCTATATAGATTATAATCCCTTTCTGCTTTCCAATGGCAGGTTATTATTTTTATTAGTTTGCCATGAGCAAATATTGACTTTGCGTATTTGTGAAAAATATTTGAAAACTATGGACGACTATTTCTATTTATTTATATAAAATTTTAAACAAACGTTAAACCAAAAACAAACAAAAATCTATGGTAGCACGCAAAATCAACAAACGGAAAATAGGGAAGAGTCAGAAGAGGAGGCAGGCAGGCAGGTAGGAAATATCTCCACAGAGATTGGACGGGTATGGGATCGCAGCTGGTGGGCGTTACTAATGTGTGAGCCAAAAAGCAAACAATTTGCATTTCTCCTAATGAAAAAATAATATTTATATGCTACACAAAAATATTGCATTGAAATACTGGCAACAGTGGAATTTGAAAGGCACGAAAAATGATTGAAATGATCATTGAATATGAAAACCATCTGGAAATGTTTGGGATTAGATGATTTTTTATTAAGGGAAAGTAGACACAAAACATATTAAATTTAATAAAAAAGAAACCATATAAATCGCAGTAGTGCCTCCCCTCCCGACCAAAAAAAGAAAAAGAAAAACCCAACCAATTGGTGATACATAAAGTTCAACAACAAAACACACCCATAAATGTTCCCATTACAAATTAACACTCCATAAATATTATATTCCACATTCTTAAGTGGCACATAATCCGAAACTGTAGCCCGAATTCCCCCCTAGCCCCATGAACATACGCGATCTCCATATGGACGCAAACAGGAAGCTAATCCTGCTCAGTGATATATCAACATATTTATGGTAAACGGGATCAGAGGGCTTAGGGCGCACAAATTTGGGAGCCCAGTCGGTGGTTGAACCATATGTTCCAGTTGATATTTATAGCTCTGAAATGCTCGGCTCGCTTCCACAGCGGTTCCAAGTGCGTGGAGACAAACCGCAAAAACTCCATAAAATTTAATGAACACTCTTTCGACAATCCCATGTGACGACCGCCGGCTGCTTAGCACTTCGCCAGAGTCTTAAGTCTATTAATGTTTAATAAACAATTATTAGACAATATATCTTTGATCTGCTTCCCGATTGAGTGACTGACTCACTGCTGTAGTCTGGCGGGGGCGTAAAAATAAATATCACGCGGCTTTTGTTTAGATCAAAATCCGAAAATTACGCACACGAATTCCATCGAATCATAACAATAACATTTGGAGTCTGCGAAGGAATCGATCAAGAGGCACCTTGACAGCCAGCACTCCCGGAGTGCGAGTTTCCAAAGAGCCGCAGAACTGTACTTTGATGTTAGACTTGTATGAGCTCCAATTTTCCAGGGAAATATATATTTCGTGCTTAGAGATCCCAGCGAAAATTGAAAATTTTAAATTGTAGCTGCTGAAACATTGGATGTAGGATGGCATAGAATAATTACAGGATGATAGCATTTGGTTTTTTAATTAAAAAAAAATTAAGAGTAGATGACTAGTTCTTCAGGTAGACATTGTGGATGGTACATAGATGATAGAGCGTCCTGGGCAGATCGTCATGTTAGTCAGTTATCTGTTCAGTAACCTACACGAGCATATTACGCATAAAATCAATAATGTAGTGATAAATATTGCTCTCAAAATCCAAAAATATGCCCTCGTAGCTGCAGTCGAGTTCGACTTTGACCATTGGCACACCAGAAATGGATGGCATCTTGCTGATGGTATGAGGCAGCTTCAAAGCGTACAGAAGTGTGATTGCCTTCTCCCTCACAGTCTTAAAGTCGTTCGAATTGATAACTTTGAAGCCCTCCGCTTTGAGCTCCTGCGGCAATTTCTTGAAATAGTTGTGACGTTCGCAGATTGGGACAGTTTTAGTTTTATGTTCGTAAGTTTTGATGATTTTACGAAAGGTCTCGAACATGCGCTGTTTTTCGAACTCATCCTCAATGTCTGGGATGTCAGTGGCGACACTGGCAGGGGTTGCCTTTTCAATGACTCTGCTCACGGGAATGTCAGGGATGGGGACGGGAACGGGGACCACCTCCTCTTCCGACACACTTATCTGTTCTTCTTCCGAGTCTTGGGACTTTTGACTGCTCACCTCTGGAAGCACTGGGCTATGGGCTACTTCCACGGGACTACTTTCTGGACCCTCCGCAATGCGGAGTACTTCCAAGACACTGCCCAAGCACTGTACCTCCGTGGAGGTTGACTTGGAGGCCTGCTTCCCAACACTGCTCACTATTACTTCTGTTAGGGGTGTCTCCTCCAATCCACCCCTCACTAGCAACACCGGTAGGGCGAGCTTTTCCAGGAAACTCTTGCCTGGCACCTCCACGATGGGAACATTCTCCAGGACTCTGTTTCCCATTCGCACTTCCGTGGTGGTGGCCACTTCTAAGATGCTGCTCTGTGGCATGTCCGAACCATTACCGATGGACTCACTACTAGCCACCAGGATCAGCAGCTCCCGCAGACCTTTCACTTGCTTGATCTTGAGTAAGCGCACCTCCCAGAAGATATCCCCTTTTTGAATGTACGGCAAACAGTCCTTTTGTTGTATGATCGCTCGGACCGCAGGATGCAACATTATCTGCGCCCAAACATTCCTTGCCGCCACATGCGAGGCACACTGCTTCGAACGGCCTGTCGAAAGGGAATTTAATAAACTTTTGAAACCGGAAAAATTACCATCGAGAGTTCTACCAGTGGCACAGCCTTTGATACCTTGAAGCTCTAGCTTGCAGCGGAATTCTCTATTGGGTTCGGCTTCAATTTCGAATATCGGTGCATTTAGCTTTAGTTTTACACAGAATTCTTTAAGGTACGAAACGAGATTACGGGCTTCCATTTTTAACGTACTGAATTCAACTAAATTTATCGTTTTTTCTGCTGTCTGAATGACTTACAGAGTTAGGTTTTTGGCTAGCACTCAGCCTACCCAGTTGAAGTGATGACAATTCAACACATAAAGTTGAGTAGTTTTTAGAAATGTATAAAGAATGTCATACGAGCGAAGCGCTCGCTACCATTTCGCTAAGAAAGACCTACCAAGGAAGCGCTGGCTTTAAAACCAAATTTCAAATTCCGCGCCCAGCTGTGGGTTGTGGAAATGGATAACAGCTGTTTTTCGGTTTTAATTTTTTGCAAAACATCGATAGCACCATCGCCAACAGAAGTATCTAGTCAGTTAGCCCAACTAGCTAATAGCATTTTTACACTGGGCCGTATCGTTGGATTTTTACTTTAAATGGAAAATGCGACAATGATCCCCTTAAGAGCCCTGTGGATAGAAGAAGACAATGATGCGGCCACTAACCATACAGTATATAGATGTGCCAGTTCGTACAACGAACGTGTCGCAGCTGAGTTTCCAGCGTACGTTCCCAGGTCTTCGGCTCTGGGGCTGACCGCGTTCGGCTCTGGGAATGACCGCGTTCGGCTCATAACGTGACACGAGCCGACTGGCAGCAAGCGTGTATGTGTGTACGTATAACACTCCAAAATATATGATTGTATGCATGGAATAATTTTTAACTACCTAAACCGATTCTGTCTTGAGATTTCAGGTTACGTAAATGTGTGTGTGCCATGTATTCTCACATGCTGTGCTTGTGTGGGTTCTACAATCTTTGGCCCCTTGAACCGAAATTGGTTTTTATTCCCGTACTCAAAAAGAGTTAAGGGTTATATTGTATTTGTGGTAAAAGTGGATGTGTGTAACGCAGATAAGGAAACGTTTCCGACCACATAAAGTATATATACTCATAAACAGTAGAGTAGAGTCGCGTCCCCAGAAGCGACTCTCACGTTTCTTCTTGTTTCGATCTAATTTCTTTCATTTTCTGCCTCCACTTTCCACCGCTCAAATGGCAGAAAACCGTTAAATTCAAATCTGAGATACCAGGCGCACAGAAATCAGCAGAAGATCGCTGCTTGTTTTTAAATCTTCGTTTTTTCTTGTTTCTCTTCGTTTCTCGTTGCCCTCTCTTTTCGCTCTAATTTTTTTCATTTTCTGCCTCCACTTTCCACCGCTCAAATGGCAGAAAACCGTTAAATTCAAATCTGAGACACCAGGCGCACAGAAATCAGCAGAAGGTCGCTGCTTTTTTTTAATTCTCGTTTTTTCTTGTTTCTCTTTGTATTTCGTTGCTCTCTCCTTTCGCTCTAATTTTTCTCATTTTCTGCCTCCACTTTTCACCGCTCAAATGGAAGAAAACCGTTAAATTCAAATCTGAGACACCAGGCGCACAGAAATCAGTAGTAGGCCGCTGGTTTTTTTAAATTCTCTTTTTTTCTTGGTTCTCTCTGTTTCTCGTTGCTCTCTCTTTTCGCTAAAATTTTTCTCATTTTCTGCCTCCACTTTCCACCGCTCAAATGGCAGAAAACCGTTAAATTCAAATCTGAGATACCAGGCGCACAGAAATCATCAGAAGGTCGCTGGTTTTTTTTTAATTCTCGTTTTTTCTTGTTTCTCTTTGTATTTCGTTGCTCTCTCTTTTCGCTCTAATTTTTTTCATTTTCTGCCTCCACTTTCCACCGCTCAAATGGCAGAAAACCGTTAAATTCAAATCTGAGACACCAGGCGCACAGAAATCAGCAGAAGGTCGCTGCTTTTTTTTAATTCTCGTTTTTTCGTGTTTCTCTTTGTATTTCGTTGCTCTCTCTTTTCGCTCTAATTTTTCTCATTTTCTGCCTCCACTTTTCACCGCTCAAATGGCAGAAAACCGTTAAATTCAAATCTGAGATACCAGGCGCACAGAAATCAGCAGAAGGTCGCTGCTTTTTTTTAATTCTCGTTTTTTCTTGTCTCTCTTTGTTTCTCGTTGCTCTCTCTTTTCGCTCTAATTTTTCTCATTTTCTGCCTCCACTTTCCACCGCTCAAATGGCAGAAAACCGTTAAATTCAAATCTGAGATACCAGGCGCACAGAAATCAGCAGAAGGTCGCTGCTTTTTTTTAATTCTCGTTTTTTCTTGTTTCTCTTTGTATTTCGTTGCTCTCTCTTTTCGCTACAATTTTTCTCATTTTCTGCCTCCACTTTCCACCGCTCAAATGGCAGAAAACCGTTAAATTCAAATCTGAGATACCAGGCGCACAGAAATCAGCAGAAGGTCGCTGCTTTTTTTAATTCTCGTTTTTTCTTGTTTCTCTTTGTATTTCGTTGCTCTCTCTTTTCGCTACAATTTTTCTCATTTTCTGCCTCCACTTTCCACCGATCAAATGGCAGAAAACCGTTAAATTCAAATCTGAGATACCAGGCGCACAGAAATCAGCAGAAGATCGCTGCTTGTTTTTAAATCTTCGTTTTTTCTTGTTTCTCTTCGTTTCTCGTTGCCCTCTCTTTTCGCTCTAATTTTTTTCATTTTCTGCCTCCACTTTCCACCGCTCAAATGGCAGAAAACCGTTAAATTCAAATCTGAGACACCAGGCGCACAGAAATCAGCAGAAGGTCACTGCTTTTTTTAAATTCTCGTTTTTTCTTGTTTCTCTTTGTATTTCGCTGCTCTCTCTTTTCGCTACAATTTTTCTCATTTTCTGCCTCCACTTTCCACCGCTCAAATGGCAGAAAACCGTTAAATTCAAATCTGAGATACCAGGCGCACAGAAATCAGCAGAAGGTCGCTGGTTTTTTTAAATTCTCGTTTTTTCTTGTTTCTCTTTGTTTCTCGTTGCTCTCTCTTTTCACTCCAATTTTTCTCATTTTCTGCCTCCACTTTCCACCGCTCAAGTGGCAGAAAACCGTTAAATTCAAATCTGAGATACCAGGCGCACAGAAATCATCAGAAGGTCGCTGGTTTTTTTAAATTCTCGTTTTTTCTTGTTTCTCTTTGTATTTCGTTGCTCTCTCTTTGCGCTCTAATTTTTCGCATTTTCTGCCTCCACTTTCCACCGCTCAAATGGCAGAAAACCGTTAAATTCAAATCTGAGATACCAGGCGCACAGAAATCAGCAGAAGGCCGCTGCTTTTTTTTAATTCTCGTTTTTTCTTGTTTCTCTTTGTATTTCGTTGCTCTCTCTTTTCGCTACAATTTTTCTCATTTTCTGCCTCCACTTTCCACCGCTCAAATGGCAGAAAACCGTTAAATTCAAATCTGAGATACCAGGCGCACAGAAATCAGCAGAAGGTCGCTGGTTTTTTTAAATTCTCGTTTTTTCTTGTTTCTCTTTGTTTCTCGTTGCTCTCTCTTTTCACTCCAATTTTTCTCATTTTCTGCCTCCACTTTCCACCGCTCAAATGGCAGAAAACCGTTAAATTCAAATCTGAGATACCAGGCGCACAGAAATCAGCAGAAGGTCGCTGGTTTTTTTAAATTCTCGTTTTTTCTTGTTTCTATTTGTTTCTCGTTGCTCTCTCTTTTCGCTCCAATTTTTCTCATTTTCTGCCTCCACTTTCCACCGCTCAAATGGCAGAAAACCGTTAAATTCAAATCTGAGATACCAGGCGCACAGAAATCAGCAGAAGGTCGCTGGTTTTTTTAAATTCTCGTTTTTTCTTGTTTCTCTTTGTTTCTCGTTGCTCCTCCCCAATTTTCTTTCTGCCCCACCCACCGCAAAAAAGAGACCAGGCGCACAGAAAAAGAAGGTGCTGTTTTTTAATTCTCGTTTTTCTTGTTTCTCTTTGTTTTCGTTGCTCTCTCTTTTCGCTCCAATTTTTCTCATTTTCTGCCTCCACTTTCCACCGCTCAAATGGCAGAAAACCGTTAAATTCAAATCTGAGATACCAGGCGCACAGAAATCAGCAGAAGGCCGCTGGTTTTTTTAAATTCTCGTTTTTTCTTGTTTCTCTTTGTATTTCGTTGCTCTCTCTTTTCGCTCTAATTTTTCGCATTTTCTGCCTCCACTTTCCACCGCTCAAATGGCAGAAAACCGTTAAATTCAAATCTGAGATACCAGGCGCACAGAAATCAGCAGAAGGTCGCTGCTTTTTTTTTAGTTCTCGTTTTTTCTTGTTTCTCTTTGTATTTCGTTGCTCTCTCTTTTCGCTCTAATTTTTCGCATTTTCTGCCTCCACTTTCCACCGCTCAAATAGCAGAAAAACGTTAAATTCAAATCTGAGATACCAGGCGTACAGAAATCAGCAGAAGGTCGCTGCTTTTTTTTTAGTTCTTGTTTTTTCTTGTTTCTCTTTGTTTCTCGTTGCTCTCTCTTTTCGCTCTAATTTTTCTCATTTTCTGCCTCCACGTTCCACCGCTCAAATGGCAGAAACCGTTAAATTCAAATCTGAGATATCAGGCACACAGAAATCAGCAGAAGGTCGCTGCTTTTTTTTTAGTTCTTGTTTTTTCTTGTTTCTCTTTGTATTTCGTTGCTCTCTCTTTTCGCTCTAATTTTTCTCATTTTCTGCCTCCATTTCCACCGCTCAAATGGCAGAAAAACGTTAAATTCAAATCTGAGATACCAGGCGCACAGAAATCAGCAGAAGGTCGCTGCTTTTTTTTTAGTTCATGTTTTTTCTTGTTTCTCTTTGTATTTCGTTGCTCTCTCTTTTCGCTCTAATTTTTCTCATTTTCTGCCTCCACTTTCCACCGCTCAAATAGCAGAAAAACGTTAAATTCAAATCTGAGATACCAGGCACACAGAAATCAGCAGAAGGTCGCTGGTTTTTTTAAATTCTCTTTTTCTTATTTCTACTATAGAGAAACAACAAAAAAGAAATTTAAAAAAACCAGCGACCTTCTGCTGATTTCTGTGCGCCTGGTATCTCAGATTTGAATTTAACGGTTTTCTGCCATTTGAGCGGTGGAAAGTGGAGGCAGAAAATGAGAAAAATTGGAGCGAAAAGAGAGAGCAACGAGAAACAAAGAGAAACAAGAAAAAACAAGAACTAAAAAAAAAGCAGCGACCTTCTGCTGATTTCTGTGCGCCTGGTATCTCAGATTTGAATTTAACGTTTTTCTGCCATTTGAGCGGTGGAAAGTGGAGGCAGAAAATGAGAAAAATTGTAGCGAAAAGAGAGAGCAACAAAATACAAAGAGAAACAACAAAAAACGAGAATTTAAAAAAACCAGCGACCTTCTGCTGATTTCTGTGCGCCTGGTATCTCAGATTTGAATTTAACGGTTTTCTGCCATTTGAGCGGTGGAAAGTGGAGGCAGAAAATGAGAAAAATTGGAGCGAAAAGAGAGAGCAACGAGAAACAAAGAGAAACAAGAAAAAACAAGAACTAAAAAAAAAGCAGCGACCTTCTGCTGATTTCTGTGCGCCTGGTATCTCAGATTTGAATTTAACGGTTTTCTGCCATTTGAGCGGTGGAAATGGAGGCAGAAAATGAGAAAAATTAGAGCGAAAAGAGAGAGAAACGAGAAACAAAGAGAAACAAAAAAAAACGAGAATTTAAAAAAAGCAGCGACCTTCTGCTGATTTCTGTGCGCCTGGTATCTCAGATTTGAATTTAATGGTTTTCTGCCATTTGAGCGGTGGAAAGTAGAGGCAGAAAATGCGAAAAATTAGAGCGAAAAGAGAGAGAAACGAGAAACAAAGAGAAACAAAAAAAAACGAGAATTAAAAAAAAACAGCGACCTTCTGCTGATTTCTGTGCGCCTGGTATCTCAGATTTGAATTTAGCGGTTTTCTGCCATTTGAGCGGTGGAAAGTGGAGGCAGAAAATGAGAAAAATTAGAGCGAAAAGAGAGAGCAACGAAATACAAAGAGAAACAAGAAAAAACATGAACTAAAAAAAAAGCAGCGACCTTCTGCTGATTTCTGTGCGCCTGGTATCTCAGATTTGAATTTAACGGTTTTCTGCCATTTGAGCGGTGGAAAGTGGAGGCAGAAAATGAGAAAAATTGGAGCGAAAAGAGAGAGCAACGAGAAACAAAGAGAAACAAGAAAAAACGAGAATTTAAAAAAACCAGCGACCTTCTTCTGATTTCTGTGCGCCTGGTATCTCAGATTTGAATTTAACGGTTTTCTGCCATTTGAGCGGTGGAAAGTGGAGGCAGAAAATGAGAAAAATTGGAGCGAAAAGAGAGAGCAACGAAATACAAAGAGAAACAAGAAAAAACGAGAATTTAAAAAAACCAGCGACCTTCTGCTGATTTCTGTGCGCCTGGTATCTCAGATTTGAATTTAACGGTTTTCTGCCATTTGAGCGGTGGAAAGTGGAGGCAGAAAATGCGAAAAATTAGAGCGAAAAGAGAGAGCAACGAAATACAAAGAGAAACAAGAAAAAACGAGAATTAAAAAAAGCAGCGACCTTCTGCTGATTTCTGTGCGCCTGGTATCTCAGATTTGAATTTAACGGTTTTCTGCCATTTGAGCGGTGGAAAGTGGAGTCAGAAAATGAGAAAAATTGTAGCGAAAAGAGAGAGCAACGAGAAACAAAAAGAAACAAGAAAAAACGAGAATTTAAAAATAGCAGCCGCCTTCTGCTGATTTCTGTGCGCCTGGTATCTCAGATTTGAATTTAACGGTTTCTGCCATCTGAGCGGTGGAAAGTGGAGGCAAAAATGTGAAAAATTAGAGCGAAAAGAGAGAGCAACGTGAAACAAAGAGAAACAAGAAAAAAAGAGAATTAAAAAAAGCAGCGACCTTCTGCTGATTTCTGTGCGCCTGGTATCTCAGATTTGAATTTAACGGTTTTCTGCCATTTGAGCGGTGGAAAGTGGAGGCAGAAAATGAAAAAAATTAGATCGAAACGAGAAGAAACGTGAGATTCGCTTCTGGGGACGAACTATCATCGGATCTATCTATCGAATAAAACTATTTTTTTAGGGCTGAGAGGGCCAACTAGCTGGTAATCTTAAACGGAATATCAAAATCGAGAATATCAACGTTGAATGTTTTGAAAAAAAACAATCGATACTATTGTAATAGTATCGGGCTCAAATAATTATTAAAAAACCATTGAAACTTTTTAGGAACTTGTCCATTGTAAAAATTAGTTACAAATTAGTTAAAAAATAGTTAAAAATTTGTTTACAAATTTGTCTTCGTATTTTATAGCATCCAATCCAAACATATCAAAATCGCAACGACTGTAGCTCGATACCATCATGATAGTCTGAAAACCATCGATGGTAGAGGCTAGCAGCAAAATATCGATACTATCGATAGTGCCCTCTTTGGTTTGACACCTCTAAGTTAACTACCAAAACAAAAAAAATATAATTTTTTAATTTAATGAATTGCCGTATGAAACAAGCAAAATGGAGCGCAAAGAAGTGGACGCACAGCAGTACATTGATCACGTAAGTAGATGAAATGGAATTGTGGTATGTAATTGCTGGATTTACCTGCTTTTTCATTGTGTATCTTATAAATAGACGCTGCTGGCCTCGGAGCTAATGCGGGATCCAAACCACTTTATCATGGATCTGATCGATCACACAGGAGTATTCCCCAAAGCCGAGGGACCCACTAACCTGACCACCAGCACAGGAAATCCCCCCAATGATGGGAGTAGCGGCTACGTGGAGAAAGATCCGCTGACGCCGGAACTGAACTTTCACAACACAATCTTCCAGTTTGTAAACAAGCATGTGAACGAGTCCTCCTCCGCGAACGGCGTGGTGGGGCCGGTGGTGTCGCAGCAAGTGCCGCAGCCTGCCTTCCCAGCCCTGGCCATAGAGCCCACCGTTCCCATCGATGTGTCTGCGGGCCTCCACGCTGTTGATGATGATGATCTTTTGTATGTCCACAATGCGCTAATGACCAATGCCCGCAAGGTGCTGCCCCACAAGAAACGCATCTCCAGGAAGCTTAAGGGCAACATCGAGGCGGAGATGGAGCAGCAGCAGCACAAGCATGTCGTCCAGCATGTGCCCCCCGTGGCATCCCTCTATAGCTGTGAGATCTGCGGATATGCAGTGCACACACAGTTGGATTTTTTCGCACATCTTAAGCAGCACTATGAGCCACCAATGGCCATGGAACAGCGACTGGAAGTTCCCATCCAACAACAGCAGCAGCAAGAACAGCAAAAAGAGCCACTGGACATGTGCGGTCTCTCAACACAGGATAAAGCGAGTATCTGGCTTTCCAGAGATATATTTCGCATACTAATATCTGTCCCTATTCCCCTACAGCTGCAACAGGAGCAAGCCAAGCTGGATCAAGTCTTTCACGATGTTCAGCTGAACTTTGAGAACTTTCACCCCATCAGCCATGTGGATCACAATGTGGGCGTGAACGTGGGTGTAGGAGTGCCTGTAAATGTCAACGATGTTGGCGTCAATATGGTCATGCATGGCGAAGCCACAGACAAACTAAATACCGTGGTGGCCACCAGCACCACGCCCAATGTCAACGTCAACGTTGTGCCCGTTGTGGATGATGTGGAGTTCAGTGACACCGAGGACATGCTCGAGGGCATACGGAACGTAGTGGACAAGGTGTCTATCGAGGACACTTGCGATGAGCTGGTGGACTTGGAGCTAACCACTGCCACAATACGAGCGCCCTGGTTTAACAACAACTTCAGTGACATCACATTCCCAGGGCTGCTGCTGCCAGGAGAGCCGCCTCCAGCGACAACGGAGCAAAGGGCGACGCCGCTGATTAAAGAGAATCATCAAAATGAAACAGAGCAGATGGATTTGGATTTCCTCAATGCCACCAAACGAGAGGAGCTAAATGAAGTGAAAATGGAGAAGGGGCTGGAAAAACCCCTCGAGGGGATGGAACAGCCCTTACTGGTGGCGCCACCAATGTGCTGTACCTCTCCGGCTCCTCCTGCTGCGCCACCGCCTGGCTCGGTCATTGAACAGCTGCGTCGATCCCCGCTATTCATACACGAAGCCGCCTTCAAACTGGAGGCTGATGAAATGCCCGACGACAGTGCACCGCCCTCACCATTCGAAAATGGCGACGTCGATGGAGAGGATGAAGACATTACCGATGGCTATGCCATGGAGAGCAAAGACACGAGTCCGAGCGAGGACTCGCCGAGCAAAACGAGGAGGAAACACTTTTGTGACAAATGCAACAGGGATTTCAATTCGTATAATGCACTCAAATACCATCAATATACACATAACCAGGAGCGCTCCCACAAGTGCAGAAGCTGCGAAAGATCCTTCTACAACCAGAGTGCGCTCACGGCTCACGAGAAAATGCGTAAGAGATAGTCCCTTATGTAAAAACCAATTCATACAATCTCTTTTTCCGCCAACAGACTCTGGGGTAAAGCCCTTCGAGTGCGAGAAATGCGACTCAAAGTTCCGACAATGGGGCGATCTGAAATACCACATCATCTCCAGGCACAGCGACATCAAGGCCCACATGTGCGAGTTCTGCGGCAAGAGCTTTTCCCGAAGGTACTCCCTGGTGCTGCACCGACGGATCCACACCAGCGAGCGGAATTACGCCTGCCAGTACTGCGACAAAACCTTTCGGGCGAGTTCCTACCTTCTGAGCCACGTCAAGGTGCACACGGGAGAGCGACCGCACGAGTGCTCCGTTTGCCAGAAGAGGTTTCGCGTCTCGGGGGATCTTAAGCGGCATTCCCGCATTCACGATCCCGCTAGAAGCAGCCAACCTCCCGCCGCAAAGGTGAAGAAAAAAAAGCTGAAGCAAATCAAAGACGACGACGAGAATGAAGAGAAGGAGGTGGTGGTTGCCACCCGTAAACATAAGTCTGACGCCCCGTGCGACGAATCTGAGCAGGAAATCCTAGGCTTATAGCCATGCTGTGCCAAGGTTTCTTCAATATAGTATTAGCAAAGATTTAAGAACACATGGATGTCGCATGTGAGTCGAAAAGTACACGAAGAGAGTGAGAATGTAAGCATGAGCCATCGGAATACTGCATAGTATTGCTTGTATGCGCCAACTATGTGTACCATAATCGTTTGTACTAGTAAATTATAAATCCTAAGATTTTTGTACCATACAACATATTTGTAAATATCAAGTACGTAATTATACATAATTATACTTCCTCGTAAATGTTCCAATCTATTCTCTCCACATGTTCCCGTTAGTGGGGAATCACTCGCCACATTCCACAATGCATCTTGTACACGTTGCAAGTGTCCACGGATATCCATTAAATAAAAAGTCACTCGAAACTCTATTGCAGAGCATTTCTTTATTATTTTTCATGTTTTTCTTCTGTCTTCATTTCATTTTTCAGTTTTACTCAAAAGTTTCACTGTTTTCTCTTTTTAATATTTTTCTTTCTCTCTTTTTGCACTTGTACCGTTCATCGACTTAGATGTTAATGAGTAAGATACATATACATACATATATATATATGTGTTTGTGTATATATATATATATATATATATATATTAAATATATATCGTTAATATTAATGTAACTATGTACAACACAAGTGTCTGGGGCCGCCTGACATCGTTCCCAAACTCAATGAAATCTTTGTATTCATTTGTTTACAACATAATTTGTATTTCTCTTTTTTTTATTATTCATCATTTTCGTTCAGTTTTTTTTTTTGTTTCTCAAAAATATTCAACATAAACGCAGCCATACATTTCCATAGATTTGTGTGTGCTTTTCCCTATTTCGTTATTTCACAATATTTTCTTTTAAGAACTTATAAACTAAAATCCTAGTATTGGTTGCTTCACATGCTTCTCTTCTCTCCTGCTTTAATGTACGCTCAGTCCATGATATCTTCCATTTCTCCATTTTATTACACATATATAATATAATTCTTCATCTCCATCCGATGATAATCGCTCTTCACATTCTCCATTCTTCTGTCTGTGTTAATTAATAATTAATTAAAAATTATGAAAACTGCATTCTAGTATCCTAGTATCAGTATCCTGCACTCTCCCAGCTTGATCCTAACTTTGCCTGATGGTTCATTCTCTTGATTCTTCGTTCGTTATTAATCTTTATTTATATTCTTGGTTTCTTGGTGTCTTGGTGGTGTGGATTATGCTGTTTTGGTAGGTTGAGTGTTCTGAGTGTGTGTATGTGTCTTTATGGATCCTTATGTGTGTGTGAAATATTTTTAGTGGGTATGATGGTATGGTTTTTGATAAATTAGCATACGAAACATTTGCGACTAATTTTTTGGAGTGAACTGAAATTTTGCCTGCCTGTTGTTCGTAAATATGATTTAAAAATAGCATTACTGTGAATATTTCTTCGTTTTTTTTTTGTCTTGGATTTACATATATATGGTACTTAAAAATTTATGTTTTTTTCTTTACTTTTGCTTTTGCTATGGATGCACACATTTACTGGTTGTTTAGTTTTTGTTTTAAATTGGTATTCTTTAAATTGAATATGGGCTTATTTTTTAGCATTTCGCTTTTGCTTTTGTTTCTTCATTGAGTTGACAAAGAAAATGTTAATTATGCTTTACTAATACACATATGAGCCTGCAAACAGTTGCCAATTGTTCGTGTGGTGTGTTGTTGCGTTTACTATAGTCCGCCTCCTCTCATCAATCATATTGGTAAAACTGAAGAGCTTTAATCGTATGCATGATGGTTTGATGGCAGCTTTTTGGTTTTATATTCTGTTTTTCCCTTTCAGGTTTTTTACATTGTGGATAATTAGAATATTGTGTTATAAAATAGCTTGCTATTTTATGTTGTACATTAAACACATATTTAACTGTTTTTACAACCGTCGTGGTTGGACAGTTTGCATCGGCCTTCGGTTGTTTTCATCATACATACATCATCATACAAAAGGTTCTTTGTTCATTATTATTTTTGTATTAAGTTTTTTATGTATTTGTGTTTCTGTTTTTATTTTAGTTGCTATTGTTGTTTCACATTGTTGCTGTTACTGTTACTATTTTTATGCGTCCCAAGTGTTTGCTACGCTATTTCCCCACCGCATTCTGTCTTTTCCTCACTTTCTCTGCTCCCTCTAACCGCTCACATTTCCGTCTTCAATTTATAGAAATATAATTTTGCTCTTTTTCTCTTCTTTTGTTTTGTTTTATAAGTTTGAGTCTTCTGTCTACATCACCACATAGATTCTTGGTTTTAAAAAAAATTAAAATACTTTCTTCTTTCCACAGTTCATAAAATGTTTTCCTCTTGTCATGGCTTGCCAATTTCTTCAAAAGTTTTTTTGGTTTTCCCACACAAATACAATATTTACAGTTACAGTTTTTGTTTTTCTTTTACAGAAATATTCAGATTTTTTCCATTTTTGTAGTTGCTACATCTAAATCTTAAATCATTCTTTACACAGCCCCCGACTGCTGTCACCATCTATGCTCTGCGCGGCTCTGCTCTGCTGCCAGATCTTGTTTTGCATTTACTTAGCTTTTTCATACGATTTTTGTTTCTTGTTTCTTGTTCAGTTTAAAATTGTGAAAAAATAGCTGCATCTATTGTAAATTTTAGGTTTTGTTTGCATTTAAAATTTGAATTACCTTTAGCTTTATATAATTTGATTTGATGATATTTTTTTTCCTTGCTGCTGCTGTTGTGTTGCTGGTTTCTCTTTCTGTTGCTGTTTTCTTTTCTGTTTTTTTTTTTTGTTGCCTGAAGACGCGATGTACGATCGTGTAGAGGACGCTCCTAATTGTGCGGCCAGTGCTGCCAAGCATCAGCTGGGCCGCGCTTAACCGGTAGGTACAGTTGCTGTCTCTATTTGCAGTTTGTGTTCTTGTTGTAGATGTAGCTGTAGCTGTGGTTGTTGTTTCGTATAAAAAGTCTTTGATTTGCCTTTTCCTTTCCCCATCCCATTCGATCCTTTGCTTCGCTGTTAGCGCGCTCTGCATTAGAGGCTCACCTGCTGCATCTTATCAAAATCTAAACACGGCCGATGCGGTCGCTGCAGTCTCTGGGTGGCAGCGGCAGCGCTTGCGGCATTGGCAGCATTGTGTGTTGTTGTAGCTGCTGTGGATGATGATGATGTGCCTCCTGCTGCTCCTGTCGATGATGACGTGGTTGGGGCTGTTGTGCCTGCTGCTGCAGCCGAACCACCACCCGAATTATTACTAGGACGACGCCTGGGCGAGATGGCGCAATGGAACAGTTTCGCGGGCGGGCTAACCGAACGCACCTCCATATCCAGGCCGGTGGTGCTGGCCGGACTACTCCGCGAGCTGTTGTAGTGGAAACTATACTTGGGCTGCGGCTGATAGATGTGGTGGCTGCTGTTGCTCATCTTCAGGGAGCTGCTGCACGCCTTGATCACACTGGGCTCGTTCTCGTTGCCACCACCCACAGCTCCGCCCAGCTTTGGGCATTTACTATGGTTGCCATTGCCACCGCCGCTGGCGCCGCCGCCGCCGTTGTCGCCATTCTCCTCGTTTACACTATTATCACATAATTTAATATTTTCGATGCCACATCTGGCCTCCGATAATATCAGTGGCGTTGTGGAGCGGAACATCATATGGCTACGATTTGGCTTGAATGCCTCCAATGGCGGCGATGTGCGAAAATTCACGGGCGTCAATATCGGCTCCAGCGAATTGCGTAACTATAAAACAAACATATGCCACAGATCAGACATGGAATCCTTGCAATATTCTGCCACATACTCACCTCATCGTCGGAGCTATGGGCCAGGGACCGTTTGCGGTTCTCCACCATCAGCGTTGAGCTGGAACGCTTCGAATTGGATGTGGTGGCCCGTTCCTCGTAGGGCGCCTCCGTGTCGAGGGAGGAGGTGCACCCACGATTGGAGAGTCGCGAGGCACACGTAGCGCCCGTCACGGTCGTGGTGCTATGGCCTGCCACCGTCGATGGCCCATTGATCACCTCCAATTCCTCCTCGGAGCTGTGCTGATCGTACATGAGATGGGCGCAGGATGACGATGTCTGGTGGTGACACATCATTGCAGGAGAAATTGGTTTTTGGCCAGCGACAGCTAAAAAAGTAAAAAAATCTTTATAAATATTTCGCGTTCTTAGCCCATCCAGTGTTGAATTTACAGAAATAGTGTTGGAAAATTTTTACATTTTGGTTAACCAACACTATTAGTGTTAAAAAAATTTAAAATTCAATCTTGTGAAATAGGTGCTTTCTACAAATGGCTCCTAAATATATTTATTTTTGAAGTAAATATTTTTAAAGACTTTATTTTTATTAATTAATTGTTGATTTCAGTAATATCAGTGTGGAACACGGTAAAGTTTCTAAGCTTACAAAATTGTGCGTAACCGGTTTTTACGAAACAATGTCTATTTCGGCAATTCCAAAAACTTATAAGCCCAAAAATTTCCAAATTTGGTTTCTAAAAACGGGTTTGCTCTATCGCACTTACTAGTTTCCATATCCACGTCTAAGTGACGTTGTTTTTCCACATCGAGGAGTTCACCATCCGATTCGGTGCCAGAGTCATTCGATTCACGCTGCGGGTGGGGGTAAAACGAAGAGAAATTTTTTGATTATTCAGATGTCGCAAATTAATAGGGGAATTTCCTATATCGAACCTTTTTACGAAGAAAATTTTTCGATGCCTTTAATGGATTCTCGCGATTTTTCTGCCTGACAAACTTTATCATGATTCCTCGCTATGTGCTTTATATGGTATATATTATACATTCCACACACGCACACCGACACGCTCACGCACACACACATACACACCCCCAGAAATACGGCGGAAAAACTTACTACGACTACGTTGCAGTCGCAGTCACAGTCACTGTCGACGTCGACGTCAACGGTGTTTTGTTGTTTTCTTCTCTGCTTCTCTTCTACTATTACTACATACTACTACTTTTTTGCCCCGTTACGCTTTACACGCTGTTTCTATGCCCCGTCCGTCCCACCCTGCTGCTCCAACTGGTCACTGTGCCCCCAACACATGAGCAGAATGTATTTGGTCTGCTGCTTCCTGATTCACGCGAACGACAGAGAGCCGCTCGCTCAATCTCTCTCTTCTGTCAAGCACGAGCTCCAGCTCTCTTTCTACGAAGCTACTGCTACACTCTCTCTGCCAAAGTACGAGCTCCAATTATCCCCACTCTCTCTCTTGTTCTTGCTGTTTCTTTTTCTCTCGTTTGCCGCCTACGCTGTGTGTGGGGCGCTTGGCGCGTGTAAAGTGTAAGCGCCGTTTCCTTTTTGTGCAAATATTTCAATCACGTTCCGCCTCCACCACGCGGACTCTGGGTTGTACGATTTTTGTTGTAACACCCGCCACCCACCCCCACCGGAGGAGACTGCGACTGGGATGGCGACCCGACTGCAGTAACGGGAAGAGCCGAACGCCACGCGAATCCGATGCGAGCGCGCACCTTTCGCCGTAAGTTATACAGCACGGAATTATTGATTTTCGTATAACGGAAGCCAGACGACCAGGAATCAAAAAAAAAAAAGGGACAACGTGTGCGTGTCCCGTCCGTATCCGACTGTGTGGTGTCTCTGGTTTTTTTTTGCACAGCAATCAGAAAAGTTCATTATTTTTCATTTTCACTTCCTTCAGTTGTTCTCTCTCTCATTCTATCCATATTTCTGGGCCTCAAACAGCTTCAAAATTGCACTTGCAAAAACGGTTTTGTAACGGTTGTGTCCGCCCACGCCAGGACTCTCGGATGGCTGGCTGGGATTTTGGTTACTACGTGTTACTATCGCTTCGCCCGTCACCGGCTAGTGCTGCGCTCAAACTGAAAAATTATGGTCACAATGTGGCAGGGCAACACTGTCTCTCGAAATCTCTGCGCTGGCGCTGGAGCTTGCCCCAAGACCCCCTACTGCCCCCCTGGCGCAGCGGCTGATTCTCTTCTCACTTGCAGTTTCTGTTTGTGTGTGTGCATGGCTGTTTGTGTAGGCGGCATGCAGCGGCCTAGCACAGAGCTGCCAGATGGGTGGGAATAATGTTCTACCAGACAATATTTTAAAATATATTAATATGATTCCAATAGGAAATACTAAATTTAATCAAAAGTTTAAGTGTGACTGCACTTGAAATGATTTTAATGGAAATGGATGGTAATTTTAAATATTCTTTATTTGATAATAATTTATTTAAAATGTGACTTTTCCTCACGCAATAATAGATTCAAGGCAATTGCACTTTTACCAAATTAAAATTTAACCATTGCTTATAGTTGCGACAAAGTTTTACACACTAATTAAGGGTATATAATGCATTCATACTAATCGTAATTAATTTTTACAAACTATCATTCTTGGTAAGTTTACGTTGATGTTTTCCCATTTGTATGCCCATTATTTTCCCATTCATTGAATTCTTTTCCCACTCGCACAAAACGATTGCAACAGTCTGGCAACGCTACGAGCACTACAGTGCACTTACTTGAATGCGAGTGTGTGAGAGGGAGAAGATGGAAACAGAGAGAGAGAGAGAAAGAGAAGGAAGATTGTGAGAAGGGGGTGTGTAGGGTTAGGTCGGTTTGTGGGGCCCGACCAGGCCAGAGGCATCGTGTTTGGTTTTGCGCGTACATGCGCGCCCAACTCATGCCCCCAACAGCCTCATAAGGTGCTTGCCATAAGAAATGAACACTCGCAAGTTGTGGGAAAGTTGTCACTTGATTGCTGGGGTGTCGTTTTGCAAATAATACAAACCATAGAGGTTTATTTATTCATTCTCAATTAGAATAAACAACCGTCTACCCTTATCTCGGTGCCTACAGACCATATTTGATACGAACGCGACATGAATGACACATTAAAGATCAATTTCAGTTGAATGTTTAGTGTTTGCGCTGTATAATCATGTAAATGTTTACAATTTTGTAAACACTGGCATTATTATAATGCATAATGAAAACGTTTTGAATTTGATTCTTGTGGAAATTACAAACAAACACCTATTAATCGTGACGAACAAACAAAGGGACTAATAAAGTGTGCTGAAACGCGGCTGTCACTCGAAATATACATACATATAATCAGAATCAGCGTTGGGAGACGAGATTTGATTCACAGATTGACCTTGAAGTCTGTACATTCTTTGCTCGAGCTTTAGGTTTTTATAGGCAATCGGGGGAATCGAATTAATACCATAATCAAATCGTAAAACAAATATGTAAAGAATTACCGATATACTTGTAGAGAATAGTGTCAATATCTTTTTCCTGCTTTAAACTTCTGATCTGCACCTTAGTATTTATAGGCAGAAGAAGAAGCCAAGGCGGCAGCAGCAGCAACAGCGGGCAGGTTGTGGCAGGCAAATACACACACACACACACACACACACACACGCGGACTCGTAGTAATGTGGAGCCCCAGAGAAGAGTACGAGCACTATTCGTGCAACAACAACAAAAAAGCCAAATAAAACGAAGCGTGCGAAACTCGTTGCAATGATGATATGAGAAATTGTTTTGAGCTTCAGCTATAAAAAAAAATATATATGTATGTACAACGATCCGCCGAATGTGGCAATGTGCTATGCCACTGCAACAGAAACTTGCAACGTGCAACGAGGAGGTGACTGGTTTCTGGTTTGTTTTATCATACCTACATTTTTCCCATTTCAGTGTAGTTTTCAACTTTTTTCCTGTATTGTCTATTTCTTCACATATTTTCGTATTCCCTCACACATTTTTCTATTTATTCCTGTTACACCTTTCCCCCCTCTGGATCCCATTGTGCAATCCGCTTTCAATTTGCTTTCAATTTACGGGGAAAATACTACGATACACTACGTGCCACAAACGGCTTTTGCAGAGCATCGTTTATCCGAAGCTCCCCCTCCCCTGGCACCCACACTCAGAGAGAGAGAGAGAGAGAGAACAAAGTCTGGCTATCGATTCCGACGTCGCTGCTGACAGAAGCAGCGACTGCAGCAGCAGCGACAGCAGCAGCAAGTACTTTTGTTCCATTCATACCACACACACACAAGCGCACACGTATACACAACAGAAGACAGAAGAGAGCTTTCCACTCTGGTGTGGGTGTTCTTCGGGGAGGCAGCAGCGCAGCGACTGCGTGTTGCAGCCTTGCTTCAGGTCTAAATTTAGCACTGGGGCTTGCAACTCCACAAGGATTTTTCCAATTTTTCCTTCTATAACATTTTGCACTCTTACACTTTACACACAAAACACACACACACTCGAAATTAGTGGGCTGCACGCCATGCAATGCCCAACAAAATGTTGAACAGAAAATAACACCGTTAAACCATTTTACACTTACTTGGGTCGCCTGCTTTTTCTTTCCTATGGGGCCCTGGGGCAGCGGTTTACGGAGGGGGCACAATTACGAAATGTTGCAACTGCTTTTTGCACAAAAATTTTGTATCCTCGACACGACAGGAAAATGGAAAAACTTCTACACAGCCAGGGGCCAGCAGGCAACAGCAGCAGGCAGTGAGTGAATGAATGGCTGGACTGGAGCTCTCTTTACTACAATTTACCAGCAGCGGCAGCGGCTGCGACTGCGAACGGAGCCCCACAGCAGCAGACTGGAGGCCGTGGGGGTGGGTGGGTGCTGTGTGTGTGTGTGTGTGTGTGTGGAGCACGAGCACGCGACGCGTTTTGGAGAATTGACAAAACAAGCGCAATGAGAGAGCCGTTCGTTCTTGCTCACATTTCGTTCGCTCTGTTCGTGAGTAAATTGTTGCTATTGTAAGCGCTTTTACGCCAAAAACTACAAAAAAGAAACGCCGACGGATGGATCCAAGCAATATGAGGAGGTGGACGGCATACGAAATATGATAAAAAAAAATACTTCGTGATACTCCAGGCAGACAAACATTACAAATAAACCGTATTGATTCAAGCAAGTTCGAAATTATGGGCCGATTGCTATCGACTCATATGGCCAATATAATGGTATATGCTTCATCGCTGCATTTCAAATCACTTAATTAAAAAAAACAATTTTATTACGTTGCCCTTATTTTTTTTAATAAACACTCCAAAATTCAGCAATTACTCGCTGAAACATATATTTATGATTTTTCACTTCAGATTTTGAAATAGATTCTATTTTTGTGGCCCACTGTGCGCGCCAATCGTCGTTCCTCTGCCTGGACGTCTGTGAGCGCTGCCTCTGCCAGCTGGAGACGTCAACGTCGCTGGTGTGTGTGTATGTGTAATTGTATGAAATTGCAAATATAATGCAATTTTTTTTATTAGAATAGAACAAAAAAAATACATTAAAAAAATAGACCTGATAAAAATAAAATACTGTTCCCGAATTATGCCGTAAACAGCAAAAATAAAATCCATGTAAACTTCAAGAGGAGCTGCCTCCCGCTGCCGGCTTGGCCAAGCTGACCATGGAGTCTAATGCAATAAAATTTTCAATGTCAAGTCGTACACGTCACACTATGCAATGCAACACAAATGAGTAGAACACACACCCCCCACTAATACCAACCAACTCACCCGCTTTTGTGGTTACTTTGGAACGCGTCATCATTAATATTCCACTTGGGACTTTTTAACATTTAACGGCTACGGTTTTACTGCACAATCACATCTTTTATTTGGCAATACATATGTACATACATATTCTGTGCTCCTATTTGTTTGGCGATTCACAATTAAATCGGATTCCACACTTGCGAGCGATAACTGAGAGAGCAGCAACAAATTAATGGCCCGCTTATAACAACAAAAACAAAAGTAATCACAGAGTGTGTGAGCTGAGATGACGTCACAATTGACCCTGAGGCCAGTGATGCCAGTTCAGCCTTTTCCCGATAGATCTGGCGAGGCTAAATTGAGCCCGCTTTTTGTTTTTGTCGGTTTTGGCTGTTTTGGTGATGAGTAGCAGCACCACTGACGTCACAATTGCGCACAAACAGGTTTCATTCAAATTTGAATTTAAAAGCATAATATTTCTTCAGATTTGAATCGATTACTTTGTTTTTTTTTTTTTTGTAATTTGTAGTCATTTTCTCATATGTTTATTTACAACAACTTACAGCTAAATCGTGTTTTCGTTTGCTCTCGCTTCGACTATAATTAAATTTGGACTATAACTAATGGATGGAATGATCTAAGTATACCACAAAAAACAACGGGCGGGCGGGCGTTCGTGTTCGTCTCTCAATATCGATCGTGTCGGCTAGCATAATCTCGGGGTTTTGAAGGAGGTGTAGTGCAGTGCAGTGTAAAGTGAGTGTTAAATAGAGTATGAAATGGAGCCAGACTCCTCACATCGCCGTCTCCAGGGGCTGACTGTGACTCCGTCCGTTCGTTTGCAGCGGTTGCAGTCCCCCGGAACCGTCATCGTGATCGAAATCGGTCTCCAGCAGCGCCTCCGACTTGGATCGATGATAGGCATTGGTCACGGCCAGCGGCGAGGGCGTCGTGGGCGAGGACTCCTCGGAGGCCGTCTGGTAGACAGTCTTGGGACGCGCCTGTGCTGTGGGCGCCGCAGGCGGTTGGGCCAACGGACGGGGTGTCCGGTAGTGTGATGTGGGCGCCTTGCTGCTTCTTACGGCCGTATAGTACGAGTCCGGACGTCGCATATCCTGCTGGTGCTGGTGCTGCTGCTGCTGCTGCGGCGGCGTCTGAGCAGGCACCGATGGCGCCGGGCGGTACAGCGACGACTCGTTGGAGAAGTTGAATTGATCCAACTTCTGATCGAAGGGCAGCGATTCGCCGCTGCTCCTTTGTGGCATGAAGCTGCTGTGGGAGCTCCGCTGGTACTCTGGCAGATTCTGTTTCAGTTCGCTGAGGAACGCCAGACCGGGCT